TTGCTCGATTCCAACTGTGAGTACTTCCATCCACTAGCACCTTGTATCTAAATTCCATACCCATCATCCAATCAGGAGAGACCGTTCGAATCCTAGACGAACCACAATATAATCTTTTAAAGTGTTCCTCCATTTAATCAAACAAGACGAAACAACTAGACACAAGAACATGCCAAACCCACTCGCCATCCCACTGACACTCAATGTCTCCAAATCACGCGCAACCTCCCTAGAAAGAGTTTTCTTTATAAGACTATTACAAAGGATAGAAGAAACTCAGACACCAGGAGAAAGTGGAGACGGAAAGGAAGAAAAAGAGAAAAATAAGAATGGAGAAGAAGAAAGTTTCAGTGCGGCGCGTAGCGAATCCTCAGAGTCGCTAATTCGCGGCGGCCTGTAAGTTCAAAAAGTCATAAAACTATTAGAAAGTTGGCAAAGTAGCTTCGTCATCACGGCGTTGGTCGAAGTTCCGAAAGCCGGCCAAACTGTACCGGACCTAATAGATACATCAAGCTTTAATGTCGAGAGAGGTTACCTTCCTCCGCGAACGTATCCGGCTGGTTCTCTGTCTTTTTCCGTCTGAACCGCCTCATCCCCTCATTTTCGCGCGTGGATCGGCGTAAAACAACAAGAAACTGCCACTGCGCGCTGGGCATCTGCGCTTTTCCACGTATGCTTCCGGTCGTTGCCGCTGGAACAATGGACCTCGAGGGCCAACAATAATCGTTAAAGCGTAAACGCGGCTCAGTTCCTGTTGGATCTCGTTTCTTGCCGATCCTCTACGCCAAGATTCCTCCTGGCTACCCGGAAATTTTTCCCATTATCGACCACAGGACCGTCTCTAACCGTGTTACCTCGTTGGTAGAGTTTGCTCGTAGGAATAGGGAGTCTTGTAACGATGCTGATGATGGTATTGAGGCTGGCTACTTCGTGACGTTGCATTTAAGATACGACGATGGGTCATCGAATGAATGGGTCATCTCATGAGTCGTCTAATGCACCCACGGTTTTGGCTTGGCTCTATCTTGGTTCATAATTAATCCGTACTTGCGGTCTCTCAGTCTCGTTAGCCCAAAGGGTTGTGGGGACAGGGCTGGATCACGCTGCAAGTACTTGGGCTCGCTGTCAAGTTATGTTTTCGCGTGTGTGTATCTTTGTGGCCAAGTATTTGGGTACTCGGCGGTTTGGTAGAGGAGGTGCTAGTTGACCTGGATTAGCCAATGGAATTTTGCGTTTGAACACGGTGAGCATTCTGAGTATACATCAATGATTCAGGAAGATGATTGGTGCTGGTTCGATGATTGTGGGAAATGGGAATTATATATTGGATTAAGCTAGTTTTTGAGTGATGTGGATGAGGAACTTGACAAAGTTGAACTTGACAACTTGAAAAGGAACTTAATAACTTGAGAAGGAACTTGATAAGATTTCTCATCAGAGAAGTCTGACAAAGTTTTGATTCGATTTTTGAAATTATTTACAGTTTGCGTGACATGGAATAAATTCAACAGAAAAAGGAATAATCCAAATGTCAGAAAGCCTTAAAGTAATGATCGAAGATGAAAATTATTTTTGTTAGGCATAAATAGTAACGATTTTATTAAAGTATTAAATATATGTACTTTTTATAATCTACAATATGTTTTAAAATGAGATAATCGAATAAATTTTAATATTTTATTTTATTTCATTCTCTACAAATATTTATAAAATTGAGTATTTCTGAATATTTATAGAAAGTGAGAGAAATGATATAGTATATTATTTAAAACTCTGTCATTGTGAAATATAACATTGCATATTATAATTATTATTGAAATACATTAAAGAAATAAATCTAGGGGAATGTGTATATCGTTCAAAGTAATTAATATCTCTAATATTGAAAATAATTATAGTGCGTAAATAACATAATTCTTACTTAGAATATTATCGAAAATAATATCGAAGATTATTTCTTATTTTGAAGTCTGATTTATCATCTCTCGATGGTTCAAAGCAGATGAAAAATAGTCCAGAGAAGTTTTAAGAAGGGAAAATAGAAATTGATGATTGGTTGGTTTAATTCTAAACCAACTTCCTAGGAAAATGGAGGAAAAGTATAGCACGACGCAAGTAGGTGAGTGCTCGTAGCCGAAAAGGTGAGAACACCTAATCTTAAGGCAGTAATTAGGGTGCGCGATGACCCATTGTTCAGAAAATTAGGGAGAGATCTTTATAGTCGTGTTTTGACAATTGCGAAATGGGACTTTTCTAACTAAGCACTTATCATTAGTAACTTCTTTTTGTCGCTATGTTAAAAGGAATGGTGGAGAACTTTTTAAGAGTTGCTGAGATGGGTGCAAGAGCCTAATTAGAATACACAATATGTCAACTGGGTTTTGTGATATTACTGTAATTTATAAATTCATCAATTTTCCGTTAAAATAAAGAAGTATTATACGTTTCGGTTATGGTAAATTATATATTATATGGGAAAGAATAATTGAAATGATTGCCTGAAATTGAATGTCTAAATTAATCGCTCGAAATGAAATGGCTATATTCATTAGGTATTTATGATGAAAATTGCTGACTACCTTTTATCATTTTCATATTTTTGGAAAGATAAAATGTTCGCAGAATAACGTAGTATTATTATTTTTACATTTTTTCCAATATGAAGCATAAGCCAAGCTTCGGATATCGCAAAATATATCCAGAAAACTAAAGTATAAAAGTTCAGCCGCTTTCTCTCTATTTCTTATCCTTCCTTGTACAAGCCATTGCATTTTTAAATACCTCAGCAACTTTTTGAAGTTGACAAATTTTAATATTCCCTAAAAGAATAATTGGAGCGTGATAGTTGAAAAGTAGAAAATATTTTCTAAAAATGGTACATGAAGCTTACTTGAAAAGGTTATTAATTTAACAATACGAATATTGTAATTCATTTAGTAATATAATAAATAACTTCATAAAGTTCTGATAAAAGTATAAATTCAAAGAACTGTCTTATAATGAACCAGTGAACGAAAAACAAAATTTTTAAAGTACAAAATACAATTTATAAGGATTCGAAGGATTAAATGATGATTCTGTTTCTGCCAATTTAACAAATCGATCATTTAAAATTTGAAAATACCGTATTTTTATTACCATCCCTGAATTTCATTATCTTCACGTTAATGTAAGAGTGACATAAGCATAAATATAATTCATAACGTGAGATATGTGATATCGACCGGATAGATATTTTATAATTTATTTATAGTGCCTCACGAAAATGTTCGAGCGCTATATTTCAAAGGAATTTTTTGACCCAAAAATTCCAATTTTAACACGTATGTATAACATAACGAGCTTTTTATAGAAAATAATTTATTTATTGACAGAAAATTACATTAGCTAGGGTAAAACATAGACTAAAACTTTAACAATGCTTTTGCTCCTCAAACGAGATTTCACAGGGAAAAATTTTTAATTTAGGATAGCAGAGCACTAAAAATTAGTCATTTTTTATTTTAATAGCTTCGCTCTCTCTTGCATCATTACACAATCACATTTAAAAGAATAGAGATCGGATTATAGATTTGAACGATGATTTCACTTACTAATTATCTGCGAATAAAAAGATATTAATCAACGTGTAAGTCATTATAATTTACGTCTACGCATACTTCCATTAAAATTGGAATTTTTCAATTAGAGTTCTCTCTTGAAATAGATACAGCGTTCGAATACTTTTGCGAGCCATTATATCTAAGTATCGACAATCTAAAAAAATATAGGACCCAACATGACGCGTATTACACTTATTACTTGTGTCACTTCTGCACCGCTATACTCGATATTAAAAATACATGAATTATTATCGTACAATCGAGTCATAAATTTTATAATACATTTATGATCTGCGCTATAATCCTCGATACAGTGTTTGCCATTTACAAAACGAGTATTAAAATATCACATAAATGGAAAAAATACCTAGGTAATTGTAAAGCTACAGAAAGACTAGAGAACACATACTTCTCTTTTCTCTTGTTTCCATAATCGATAACAGAAGCAGGAATCAAGAAGCCAAATGGAATTATTGATGTTCAACTATTGGCTCTGTAATGTCTTCTGAAGTACCTGTAAGACACGAAATCCGAAAAAAGAACGTACAACGTAGCCGGAACATCGATAATGTGATTTCCATTAATAAGTCGGTCAACGTATAATTTCTTTATGTAGCGTAATCTTATATATATCGTTTATTCGGTACTTTTGCTTGGATAAGTGCACAGTGTATCTAATAGGAGAGTGTACGAAAAAAGTTTTTACTGTTAGCTGGGAAATTTTCACTCTAGTAAGTACTGTAACCATTCCTCTAAGACGCTTTGTACAGGAATGTTCAGTTTTCGCCTATTCTTTGTGGCAATGGTTGACATAGGTATATCTCGTAAATCAAATATACAAGGAAAACGATTGTATCACTTATTTTGAGTTGCATTCATCTGCACTATAACAAAATAAAACTATTTTCGTGCAAAATAGCAAAGAACTGTAACATTAGAATACATGTATAGCTTTATCGTAACTAATTTTATTAACTTATAATATATTTAAAACGTGCAACTTCTAATATTTCGAAACGGAATTTGTATGACTTAGGCCATAATCATCGGTACATACTGTGACAATGGTTGACATAGATCTTAATATTGTAGAGACGATTTGGTGATGGTATATATTTATTTAATAATAAATTAACAGTGATAGAGTATGTGAGTAACGATAAAGATACGAACTGTTACTACTTATCACAACGCTCAACCTAAACTTCTACAGTAACTCTCCTATTACAACTCACAATTGTTAGCAATTCACGATTATTAGCAACAACAACAACTCTGGCAACTAACTTCGACAACTCTCCACTAACTCTCCATTGACTAGCAACTCTCTAATCGACAACTCTGCTAATCGACAACTCTGCTATTCACAGCTTGACGACTCTCTCACAACTCATTAACCGACAACTCTCAACTCGTCAACAACTCCGCTATTGACAACTCTGTCCTCTGACTTAGAACGTCCTTGTCTTTTTATATTCTTCTTCCCACCATGCACACCCTGTACGCGTTTTCCAATGCCTCCCTCAATATCACCAAATATGGTCATGTTAAGGGCCTGACGCATCGTTCAGGGTTTTTCCAACTGACCTGGCCTTCCAACCCTCGGTGACTTTCGTAAAGCTACGTGTACATGCAGTGGAAAAGTTGCGATACTACAATATATATTGACGTAAAAATAAGTGATGTTTGTGAGAAAGAATTTTTTTCCGATTCTTGAACTAAAATTGAGCACTGATTTTGACACGAACTGACACTGACTCTCTGCGAACACACTACACATACATTGTTGAAATCCTATCTTGTTGAAAACCAACCGACTATTCTCGTTTCATGTTGGAAACCAACTTTTGCCCTTTGAACGTCATTAATATAAACGTTTACGACTGTATGGGATGGAGAAGGAACAAGATCTTCGAGAGAGAGAAGAACTGCAAACTCGCAAGAAGAAAAACAGATTTGAAAGTTGGCCCGGCGGAAAAAGGCCATAAAATGGAAAGCAAAGTGCCCCGCCTGGGTCTGACTAGGAACTGCCCAATCGGCCAAGATAAATCCTTGAAAGAAACATTAGAGATAGGAAATGAAATGTAAAGGACAATAGCTAAACCTCGTATGGGTCTTGAGAGAAGACAGAAACGTGAGCAAGGGAAAGACAGGAAGGAATGGAAAATACTGGCAATAATTCAAGCATACTTCGCTCTTATCCTCTAACAAGACTATAGTGGCCATATATAACCACCACAGATTCATTGGATCGAGAAAAATATTGTTTATTTATGTGCACAAAGATGTGGAAATGTAATTTTCATTTCATGACGTAAACAATTTTTTAATAATTATTTAATAATTATTATTTCAAAGAACAGATTTTCTTTACATTATAGTTAAGTTAAAAATTAAATTAGAAAACTCAGGAATTTTAATTGCCTTAAATTTTAAACTAACAAAGAAATATTTTAGAAATTTTTACATAAAACTAAGTATTAATAAACTATAATTCAGTCTCAGTCAATTATTGACACCAGGTGTCAATAAACACTTCACACAGAACTGTCTAAAAATTCGTACACATGAATCATTTATTTCAAACTCCAAAGATCCTGATCGACGAACATTACAAATAAAATCAGAATTGAAATATAGTAATAATAAAATATAACCAACTGATATTTCTAATAAAACAATTTGTTTTAAAAGAGCAATAAATACAAAATACTTACTACCGTATCATTAATCCCAAAGGAGACATTAGAGAGTCTATTGCGAAAAAGTAATAATGAAGAAATGGCAGCATAAAAATCACGTTAGTTTCATTGAAGTTATTTCCATCAAAATCATTCGGTATTTTACGCAATAACGTTTTCCCTGAACGGTGAACTTCTCACGCTGCAAACTCGTTTTTATTGCCTTGCTTATCCGTTTACGAGCCGCCCTATACATAAACTAGGGTGGCATACCCCTTTTAGGCCGACTTCGTTATTATCAGTAGCTTCGGTTTGCCTCATAAAATTGGGGTTCCATTGCTTTCCTAGTTGGAAGAAGAAGTTTATTCGCGTTCAATATTAGGATACTTTAAAATGTACAATAAAAATGATATAAAAGCTTCATTATGATATTCAGAAAATTAAATTTGATTTACCATTGCCTATACTTATCTTTTAGGAATATCTAAATTCTTCAGATTACCTCACCATTTTCCTTTGGTAGGTATATTATTTATTTATATATTTATATACTTATATATTATTATATATTTATATATTTTATATATTTTATAAGAATAATATTGACACATATTCGATGTATATTTTAAATTCACTTTTCTATACATTATTATGCATAATATATTGCTTTATAGATTAAATATTAATAATCGTAAAATTTATAGAGAAAATAAAAGGTGTTCCGAAATTTACGCAAGATTTGAATTTTGCGCCATTTGTGTGGTAAAGTGTTGTCAATAAAGAAAAAAGAAAAGATATTAAGATATTAAGATACTAAGATACTAAGTATACTTTATGAATCACTCCAAAATTTACAATTTTTAATTAAAAACCTGTGTTTTCTATTAAAATTACTTCTTACGTGAATTTTAGGACACCTATTACATCTGCCAAATAAATCCTAACGTATAATCTCCAATAAATTACTTTAATAAGTAAGGATTATTTTTCTTCCGTCTCTTTTTTGATTCGTATCTAACTTAATTTCCAAAATCCCAAAACCAGTGCAATAAAATACAGTTTTGACAAAGGCTTTCGTTTTTCGTCTAATTAATGAACGTTACCCCGAAAGCAGCTTTTAGACAGCTTTAGCATGGCTAACAAAATTTAATATTTAAGATCGAGTAATATCGGTGGTTTTTCATTCGTGTTTAAACATACCTAATTTCGTGGTCCCGGCTCAAAGGAAGGGTGAAATTCATTTTCTTATGTACCAATCTATTCTACCAGGATGTAATATCCCTGGATTTATCTTTTTTCTCTTATCAAAGGTGGCTTGGTCTCTAAATGTTTTATAATTAAAGATTCCGATGCAAATTTAATTATTTCTGTCCTTCTGTGTACTTAGAGAATAGGTGAAAAGCGAAAAGAGCCTTTGTAAAAAGCAAAAAGAAAATAGAACGAAGAAAAAAGAAGCTGGAATAAAACAAATGGCCAGACAATTGAAAAATAGAGAATGGTGGATTTAAGGGACATGGTGACCATTATGGAGAAAGAAAGACTCCTGTTTGATGAGAAGAATTTGGGTCCTTCTTACAGGTATTACAAAGCTGTCTATTATCCAAGCAATTTTCTTCAGCGAACAAATATTTTAAATTTGGTTTCTTTACGGGGAAGGTTCTGATCTAGAATTTTGCAGATATCGACATTTTTCTTGGCGTCTGGAAAATGTACAGCTAAAAGGAAATTTCCAAATGTTAACAATTACCAAAGTTACAGAGGCTTCTATGTGTAGGTTGTCATATGGGAAAATTTTTGGAGGATAGAGAGACGCATTTAAAGGTAATTTTAAATTAAAATCTTTATGAAAATGTAGTAGCGGGCAAGAAAGAATACGTTGACCATATTCAGAAAAAAATAAAATACACTTGACGCATGGAATTAAAATTTTAGTGAGAACTTAAAATCTTTAAAATTCCTCGACGTATTAACTCGTCATCCCGAAATTAAAGGACCAAGGACACAGAACGCAGACCTCGCTAATCATCGCCATTCCCACCATCCCTCCTTCCTGATTAAAAGACACCGCTCGCTGAATGCGCAACCGGCGCCATCTTTAATCCCAGCAATTACAAGCGCGCAGATATCGTTGTCTTCGTCGTGAGAGGCAGCCGAAATTCGACTCAACGATCATCCCTAGATCTTCCTCCTGGCAAACGTAACACGCTTCGGTCGACGAACAATCAGATATCCCGACAAGAAATAAGATTTCGCGAGTCTTCTTATCCAAGAGATCTCGAGTTACGAGCGTATCCGTCAGCATCCGGAAATTGAATTCCCTCAAAGTGGAAGTATAAAAATAAATCTTAAACGCGGGTATCCCTCTTCTCTCATCTAACATCTCGGTCGCTAAGGCCAGACAAAGGAACAGAGGTTTAAAGGGCATGATGAAGCGCAGTTATAAAGGAAAGAAGCCATTAGGAATTGATTCTGTCTGGCAGTCAAAGGCTCTCCGCACGTTCGTGACAAGATGGCGGACGCGGTGGACGCCAGAGTCCCAGGATCAAAGGGAACCTTCGCCGACTGTTTGACGGCAGGAAGGAAAATCATTAGCCGCAGACTAGTGTTGCGTGTTAAACGTGCTTGGAATATTTTTTTCACTCTGATTGAGAGGAAAACGCGATACGCGATCGGGAGTGTTAAGAGGTTATAACGCAAAGGAATAGTAATTAGTGGAAACGGTGGAAAAACTGTATAGATCTTTATTAAACGAGCGAATGGTTAGAACTGACCTGTTTAGGACCACGCAGTATACGGGAGTATTTTATTATTCAAATCATATAATGGTAAAATGATAATAAATTGATGATATAAGACAACATTCTTACTCAATGGAGCGTTTATCTTATTGACGGTCACGAGTGACCACTGTGGCGCCTTGGTAACGGTTGACAATTAACACTATGCTGTCCGGTAGCACCACGTTAGTGTCATGCGAAAACTATCGGGCAAATGCCAGTGACATCACGTTGGTATCATGCGCAAATGATGAGTCAGTCCTACCGACGCCAAATAAAAGAATCCGGATTAAACGCGTGGGCGGCATAGTGTTAACTGTCAATTTTCATCCAATTTTTACAATTGTAAGTAGTTCAAGCACTCCGGTCACTAATGATCAACGTGGCAGTCAAAGTGTCAAGGAGTGGGAACTGTTAAGAAAGTTATTTTTCGGTAGTCAATAACGTAATTTATAAGTAGGTGTCCATCCATCTCCTTGATGGGTCTGTTACACTTGGGTTCAATCTTTCGGGCCTAGTAATAATAAATTTTCTGTACTTTTGCATTTACATATATGACTTAATGCGCTGCGAGAGCGGCGAGGCACGTCTAACCTTCTGCGTAACAGTCGTAATACAAAATAATGAAGTGAAGAAAAATATACACACTCGTTTTTTTCTATAATATTTATTATATATATTCTATTGTATTATGAAAAAATAATTAGAATCACACACACTCTTCTAGTGGTCGTACTCACTCTGCGCGTAGCCGCACACTCACGTCACATTACTTTTTCTGATCTTTTTTTTTTCACTCTCGCTCCCCTCTCCACATGCAGACGTCACCACCTTATAAAATACAGAGGTACTCTTAACATAAAGTCTTCAGAATTATCTTTAGAAAATTAAAGTAAGAGTTATGCTATAAATACTCTCACAGGGACGAAAGAATAACACAGAAATTCCATCGATGCGCGAAGAATCGTGAACGACAGAGTCTAGCTTTTATCGTTTCCGGCTCGGACCTGGCTACACAGTGGAAACAATTTTCGCAACGCGAAGAATTAACAAGCCTCCTAGAACCGGCGAGAGTTTATCGCGGCTGG